ACATGATGCTGCCATGTATTAGACTCAACTTGAAAGCAATTGATTCAAAGTGTACCACGGGTAACCCCCTCCCCCCCAAAAAAACCCCAAAAAACCGGAATTATGCTGGGCAGAGTGAAGCTTTCATAGCATTTTCCTCCCAAGACAAGCACTGAGTAACTCGCTCTGAGTTAGTGCACCCAGTTCTCTCTGGTCACAGTGAATGTTTTAGTAAGGGCAGTTTCGCTTAAACCTCCTTTTTTTGTGATGGCTGATTTAACAGAACAGGGTGCAGCTGTGAAATCTTGTTTCCTGCTTGGGAAAAATGCCACAGAAACTTTTGTGATGTTGAACACAGCTTACAAGGGCAGCACAATGGAAAAAACTCAAGTGTAAGAGTGATTTTCTCATTTCAAAAATGGTGAAACATCAATCGATGGATGACAAACCTCGTTCTGGATGTCCATCAACTTCTCAAACAGAACGAAGTGTCAACTTGTGCGTTTGGAGTTTGTTCCACAAGGTCAGACTGTTAACCAAGCTTTTTATTTAGTAGTTCTGAAAAGATAGTGTAACAGTGTGCAACCAAAAAAAGCCTGATTTGTGGCAGATGAGGGGCTGGTTTTGCTACCACAACAATGCACCTGCTCAAGCAACCATCTCAATATGCCAGGTTGGGGCAAAAAAACAAACAGCATACCTCTCTTGACCCACGCACCTTACTCACCTGACCTTGCTGAGGGCACCTTTTTTGTTTCTGCGAATACAGAGGGACATGAAAGGACAGCGATTTGATGACTTAGAAGAGGTGAAGAAAAAAAATGATGGAGGTGCTGTCAGCCATCCAAACAATGAGTTTGAAAAACGTTTCCAAGAATGAAATTGAAGATTTGACAAATGTACTCAGTGTAATGGAGAGTACTTTGAAGGTGATAAAGTTGTTTTGTAAAAATATTTAAATACATAGCTTTTGGGGAAAATTCCATTTGGGGGTGGGGGTACCCCCTCACATTTTCAATATAAAATCTGACTACATGAAGGGGGCCTCAAAAAGTTCATGGAGAGAATAAAAGATAATGAAATCTTTTTCACACATTTTTGAAGCCCACATACTTAATATTGAATATTAACATTACAATCAAGTACCTTGTAGCATCCATTTGGGCAACATCTGACCATAAATGCCTTGTAATCCCATTAAGGTCTAATAAGAGCTCAGATAATTCCACCACAGAAAGGGATAAGTGAGCACAAGTTTCCCACACACAACACTTTTATCTCACATTCGTATACAAAGTGACTGCACTGCTAGGTGTATAATGGTACAATGCATATATAGCCTATAATACATGTCTTGATAGTCAAAATAAATGACTTTTAGTACCTTCTATCTAAACTATGTAACAATGCATGGTTTAACTAGACAGCAGCAGCAACCAATTGCATTTACCACACATCTCCTGAATGTTGTCTGCTTAAATTTCTTTAGGAAAACATGGCTCCCAAATACAGCAAAATCAGTACTAGTGATAATAGCAGCCAAAGAAAAGTAGTAGTACTGATGTACATTCAAACTTCAGTGATCCTCAATAAGAAAAAAATGTCCAAGCTATTAAAAATTTGGTTCCATTGAAAATGACAAGACTAACGAGAATGCCACAAGAACCCATATGAAGAAATTGTTAATGACGTGGACTGAGAGCCAAATACATAGGGGAATCCCTCTCACTGCTATGACAATCACTGCTAAGGTACGGAGTTTGCTCAAGATGCTTAAAGAAAAACCAGGACCAGATACAATATGGCGTTTGCACAAAGACCAAATCGTGTCTTGTTTCATGTTCATCAAGCTCATGACACTAGAAAAATAAAAAGAAGGAGCTGGGGTTCTGGAGAAAAGTGTGAGCTGAAAATTAATTACAAATTTGTAGCCACAAATGAAGTGGATAAGATTTTAAGGTAAAAACAAAAACTAAAAACAGGGCTGGACGTATAGATCTGAAAACTGTTGGGAGAAATGTCAATAATACATTTGTTTTATACATATAACTACCATTAAAAATCAGTAATAAAACAATCCACAAACAATACTATTACTCAAACCAACACACAGGTATCTAGTCCAATGAGTCTTCTAAAATCTTTAGAAAGCATATTAAACTATAAAGAAAGTATGACAGAACCCTACTAAGTAGCTACAGAACCAGAAGCTGATTATTGTCCACTGATAAAAGGGAAAGTCTACTTTAGACCTCAGCTCAAAGTGATCAGAAATGAAACTCCAAATATCAGTACTGTGTTCTACTACAAGGTCTGGAAAGGCTATTTCTAAGGCTACAACAGAGAATTTAACAGGAAACAACATTCTTATCTCCTAAGTAGACACCCTACTTCCATACAAAAAGAAAAGCTAAAAACTAAATATCTTCTTCAGCTTCTAATGAGAGGACGTTCAATATCTAATAAAGAACCTTCTAAATATAACCTGTTTCTATTAAATGGAAGCAAAATATTAGATTAAGAAGTATAGTTGTGGGTTGTAAAGTTTCTAAAATGTTTCTCGTAACAATAAAATTTTGGATAACATATCAAAACCAGAAAGTAAATGAATATTCCAAAACACTAATAGTCAATCTGGTAAAAATGTTTTAGGTATCTTAGAGCTTTTGAGAGGTTAAATAAAAGAAACTACTCAAAGACTATTTAAAAAATTCAGTGGACCATTTTAGGTTTTATAATTTAAGCTATTAAAGCAAGCAGCATTCAAGAGATTTCTGAAAAGCTTAAAAATTGTTTGCGTTGCTTTAAAAAAGTTTTATTTATCACCTATCATGATCTATTGTCCTGGGATCGCCCAAAGTGAACTCCTTGTTCTCACAGCCACAAGGGGGAAAAAAGTTCAAGAAGAGTTGATAAATGAGAACTACCACGTGGAGAAAACAACAAAAAGTTTAATGCCTGACATTTTAAAGGCTTTTGTTTCACAGACTTCCGTAATATGGAGATAAAATACAAAATGATACTATGCAAATGGTTGATATAGAAACTTGGAAACCTATACTTGTTAACTAAAATAAATTCTCAATAGACTCCACCTATATAAAGCCAAACTACTAAATTCATCTGTCACGAAGAAATTGATACATGTGATAATTCTTGCAACAGTGTACAAAATTGGGGGTGGCCTGAGGGGGTGTGGACAAGAGCTTGAAAAGCCTATTACGTGTCCATTCACTTTTGGTACCTAAAGCAGTATTGCATTAAGTTTTAAGATATTTTTATCTTCCTTCAAGTCAACACACCTGGGTTCCTGTACAGCAACAATGAGTTTAAAATTCTATTTGAATTATATCCTGGACTCAAGATATAAAACACAGAATTAACTGTGTTTTAAAATTGCACTTGAAAGAAATTTGAAGAGATTCTTCATCTTACATATAATTACAGTATCATTCTGAATACCAAATGTCTTTCCTTCTCAACACCAAGCTTCCAGAATCTACAGATATGCTTTTCTTTTAATGCCAAGTCATATACAGTTTGTTATACTGATAAGAATGGAAATTTGGAATTAAGAGCTAAAGCACAAGCTATATCCTCACTGGGTACCACATTCAGAGCCCAGACTTAACCAGCAATTTGTCAGTCATTTCAATGTATCAAGTCAACGTTGTAAACAAAGGCTATAAGTCAACTATGAAATGCAAATTCAATTACAGAAAACTTAAAATGGTCATCATTTGCCTAAACAGGAAGTTGTAAATGAAAAATGCTACCACACACCTCTTTTCGAAAGACAGCGAGCTAACAAGCATGAAATAAACAGTTCTTAAGTTTTAAACTCCCAAACAAGTTTTTGCTCTAGTATTGCTCTAACTAGAGCTCCAATCTCCCATATACAACTGAGGAACTTTAAGAGTTCGCAAATCTTTTCACTGCCAGAGGAAGCTTCTGTTGTAAAGTCGTTTTCCATTAATTACAAATTGCCAGCTGGAAAAAGGGAAAGCGGTATGTCTTGTTACCTACTACCTACCATCACTGAAAAGAATTGCTTTTTATAAAGAACTCTACATGGTTGTGTTGCTTTTGGCCTGCTAAAGGCAAAGCAACATTATCTCTGGATTGCCAATAGTTTCTCCTTATTTGGCTAACATTGAGAGATCCCATTCAGACTACTATAAAACTTTAACATGCACAAAGCATCCATTTTGAGGAAAGTTAGTGACCGGTTTTCCTTTTTCCAATTCCAAGAGAAAAATCCGATCTCGGTAGCCGGCTCTGAGAAGAATGCCCAGTGTTTATTCCCGTCTTTCCAAACGATGCACAGCCCAGGGCTGCGGCAAACTCTCCGCGGAGCAGACTTCAGACCTGCGTCCTGGCGCCGAGGTGGGCAAGCACTGGGGAACGCTCACGTCCACCCCCACCCTTTCAGCCGGTGCAGATCAGCTCATTACACCGTTTTCTCCTCCCCGGTGACCAAGAGCAATAAAAGACAAAACAGGAAATCGTTCGCTCAGGGCACTCGGCTTAGAGCTCCTGATTACTATTATTACCATCATTTGCAATCAAGTCCTGGAAAGTACAGCAAATCCACTGCCCAGCTACAAGTCAGAGATGTCCATCTACCAAAGCAAGGGTCCCTAGTGTCCCTCCCAAGTTGTTTTCTCCAGCGGCCCCTTCTCACGAATAAATCCCTGACAGCGGGGTCCAGGCACAACCCCACTACCCCCCTTCTCGCCTCGACCCCAACTCCTGGACACACGTCCACAAATGGCCGTAGGGCCCCGAGCCGGCCGACCAGTCCCCCTCCGTCCCGGAAACGACTCGGTTCCCAACTGCAACACCGGCCGGGGTGAAGGGGCCTCCAGCCCGGCGCCCGCCCTCGCGGGAAGCCGCCCCCTCGCCCCGCTGTAGGGAGTCTGTCCCGGAGCCCCCGCCTCGGGAGCTTGCGAGCGGAACGCAGGCCCGGGCCAGAGGCCGGGCGAACTGGGCCGGGCGGGCGCGCGGCGGGGCGCACAGACCTGGTGCAGCGCGGTGAGCCCGTCCACATTGGCGTAATTGATGTCGGCGCCGCGGTGCAGCAGCTTGAGCACCTCGTCCGTGTCGCCGCTGGAGCAAGCGGCCAGGAAGACGGCGCCATCGTCGAACTTCACCTTGGTCTTCTGGCGCTTGACCACCGGAGGCTCGAGGTCCGTCTCGGAGCCGATCCAGCGCTTCAGCTGCTCGTTCCGCTTCTGCTTCGCGTCCGCCATCTTCATCCCCTCTCCTGCCGCCGGGTCTTCTTATCGCGAGGGGGGTGGGAAGGGGGAGGCGGTGAGGGCAGAGAGGGGAGGCAGGGGGTGTGTGGCTGGTTCTGTGAGTGCGGGCCAGGCGAGGGCTGGGAACCGGGAGGAGACGCTCGAGACTTCCAGTATCCCACAGAGCACTGGGGCGGCGCGCCCGGGCGAGCGGACCTCCCTCCTACCACACAGGCCCTCCCGCCCCCGGCCGGGCCACCCGTCAGCGGCGGCCACCGTAACGTAACTTCGCGAGATCCGGGCAGGGAGGCGCCCTGCGGCCCGTGCGCATGCGCCCTGGCCTGAGCCCGCCCCAGGAAGAGCGCTCCCGCGAGCGGCGGCGGGGGCGGCCCGGGCACCGGAGGGAAGCGGGTGTGGCCCGACTCCCGGGGGCTGGGACCCACCTGAGACGGAAGGGAAGTTGCCCTGCCCAAAGGAAGGCTCCCGGTTCTAAAGGGCCCCTCGCCGGCCTGCCTCCGAGGCGGTCCCAACTGTATGGAGAGGCTACCTCTGGGCGGAAGATTTTCCCATTGGCCTACGTTATTTGAATAGAATGGGGGCTAGCTCGTGTTAGGTGCTTGTGGTTTCTCTTTTCCAAGGCACTCGAAGGAATTGGCGGAGGGCTATCACAATGGAACAGGACCTTTTTAAAGTGAGGTTTGTGTAGCCTAGGATTTGGGCGGTCGTTACCCCACATCTCGGCCTGGGGTTGGCCTGCGGTCATTGCTGTGGCTTCCTGCCAACACCCAAACGTCCTGCCAAACGTCTTTCCTCTTCTGCCTGTTTTTCGTTTTGTGTTGTTTGTTTGGTTTTTTAAAACGTTTTTGTTTTGTTTTTTTAATTCACTCGCTCGCTCGCTCGCTTATTTCTGGTCCTCTAATCCTTCTCTCATTGCTTTAAGCTTGCCTGGTACTCCACTTAAGCTCAGTACAGCCTTGCTACTGGTCCTGACCTTTTAAGGTAGTTCTGATTCCTGCTCCCCCTTTCTCTAATGCTGGAGCAACGTCTAGGATCCCAAAGAAATGTAAATGATAGCAATAATTTCAACCAGTATTTATTGAATTCTTAGGAGCCTGTTGGTGTTCTAGGCACATATATAACAGTGAAAAGAAGTACACGAATTATGAAAAAAGACTAATTTTGCCATGTATGAAAAAAGACTAACTTTGCCATGTATGACCATACATACTCAAAGAAAAAAATTGTGACAAATACAAGTCCGTATATTTTCAATCTCCACTAACTGATGTTTTTCTGAACACCATTGTTTTCATGCAACATTTTGTTTTACGGCATTAAGAAGTCAAAATCTTACCATTGAAAAGAACTTTAGGATGAGAATGATGAGGGCAATGAATGAACAGATGTGCTTTACACAATTGATGTATGGATGGATTGTGATAAGAGATGTATGACTAAATTAAAAAAAAAGTTGTATGAGCCCCTAATAAAACGATTGAAAAAAAGATGAACTTTAGGAATCATAAAGACAGGCTTAAAACTAAATAGCATTTAATTTCATCAAGAAGCAGGATTAGCATTCATTCAAAAAATGTTCTGGATCAGACATAGCTCTAGATGCTAGACATAGCAGTGAACAATTTAGCTGTGCTTACTCCCAGCATGATACCCTTTTCAAAAGGTTTCATAGCACCCTATTGTGCTGGGAAATAACCTATACTCACCCACTGCCTTTGGGTGGATTCCAACTCATACTGACCCCATAGGACAAGTAGAACTGCTCCTTTGTTTCCATGACTGGGAAGCACATGCTTCTGAGAAATGGCTGATGAGTTTCACCCACCAGCCCTGTTAGCAGCCCAACAGTTAACACACTCGCCACCAAGGCTCCTTTTGGAAAATAAAGGTTGAACAAAATTTGATGAGAAAATCTGCCGATAAGGCTGGTATTTATGAACCACAGTTGCTGTTGCTTTTAGGTGTCAAAAATTGAGTGATTCTCTAACGACCTTGAGCACAGCAGAATGAACACTGCTCAGTCCGGTGCCATCCTCACAATTTGGTGTCATGCTTGAGCCATCGCTGCAGCCAGTGTTAATCACCTTGACAGTCTTGCCCTTTTAAAATAGTTTTAACTTCCTTGTAGGCGTTAGGCTATTATCCTGTCACACAGCATTGTACATGGTAGATCTTGAAATGTTTTTGATGATGAATGTAACACCATTCCTCTTGAAGCTGTCATTCCCAGTGTAGTAAACCATAAGATTATCCAACAGGCCAATACCGGTCCATTTCAGCTCACTAATGGCTAGGATATTGATCTTTATGTGTTTCATTTTATATTTGATGACTTCAAATTTTCCTAGATTCATACTTTTTTGTGCTAAAGAGATAGGATTGGTGTAGGGTGTGTCTCTAGTTAATCTTTTTAGATATAAAAGAGATTAAGCAAGCAAGCGAGAGAACAGAGATAAGCTAAGATAGATGCCAAGACATAGGGACATCTCCAAGGAACCAAGATGAAGCTAAAGAGACAAGGATCTAGATCCAGTGCCAACAGAGAGAGTCTCTAAAACTGGCGTGATGGTTAGGAATTATGTTAATTAAGCAGTTCTGGGTAAGAGCAGAGATGGAGCTGAATCTGTCAATTTCATCACAGCCTGATGACACACCGCCTTGTCATCATAAGCCTTTTTGTATAAAAGAGAAACCTGGAAGAACTGAATTCTCTTCAGCCCTTCCCCTTCTGCCGGAGCTCGATCTTTTGTCTGGTTCCTTGTCCGGTTGCATCCCCTGCTGATCCTAGGAACCGTTATCGGGCAACGTTCCTTCAGCTAACTTTGAACCTCTGCATCCACCAGCCTATGCCCCCTGCTGTGTCTGCTTCATCATCCTTGCCTGGTTACTCCATTTCCTATTTTGGCAACTGCCCATCCCACAAGTTGTCAGTGGACTTCCCTTTCTTGAACCGTATTGGACATACCTATTTCTACAACTCTGTAAGTCATTCCTTGAAAGAAATTTCTGCCTATCTACAAAATGCACCTGTCACTGGTTTTGTTTCTCTAGAAAACTCACCCCAACACATCCGGGAACCCTGAATTTGGACTTTTGACCTCTGTCACCTGGCAGAAGGCTGAACAAATCTTTCTTGGAAGAAGTATAATCAGAATCCTTGTCAGAAGCAAGGATGGCAAGGCTCTGTTTCATGAACCTTGGACATGTTCCTGGAGAAGGGCTTCATGCTTGTTGGACTATAGGGTCAGCAAGAGAAGGAAACTCTCAGTTGCTCAACAGTGGCTACAGCAATGTGTTCCAACCTAGCAATGATTATGAAGATGGCACAGGGCCAGTCCCTGTTTTGCTCTGTTGTATGTAGGGTACCTGTGAATTGAAACCAACTTTATGGCACCAAAAAACCTTAACAACAACGGAAAATTAAACTGCAAGAAAATTCTGGCTGTTGTAAAGCTATCCACTTGTGATATTTCCACATAGTTATCCAATATGTGATCTATTATAGCAGACTTGATAATGACATAATTTGGGATCAGAGGTGAGGGGTGCTGCCTTAACAGATAACTAAAATGTGGAAGTAGTTTGGGGATTGGGTAATATGTAGAGGCTGAAAGAGTTTTAAAGTACTGAATTGTAAAAGCCTCGATTGTCTTGAACAGGCTGAGTAGAATTGTAGATGTCAAAGGCAGTTCTGGTTAGGGTTCAGAAAGAAGTTAAGCATGCTAAGTTAACAGAAGAAATGTCTGTTGTCCTAGAGAATGCATGTAGACATTAAATATTCCTGATGAGACTTTAAAATGATGGACAATGGAGGAAGGCCAGTGCTTTTTATGCAGTGGCAAAGAACATGTATGAATTATGATAAAAATATTTGGTGGAAGGTAGAATTGTAAGTGATGAACTTGGATATTTAGCTGGGGAGATTTCTAAGCAAGAACTTAAAGGGGCCATGTGGTTTTTCATTGCTATTTATAGTAAAATGCAAGAGGAAAGAAGTGAAAAATGAACTGTGTACAATGATATAATAGCTTAATGTTTTCTAATTTACTGCTCTAGTTTCTAATATCCATTGCAATGGCTACACAGAAACTCAGAAAATTCATGATGAAAGGGTTCATTAAGGATGTTAACAAGTTGTAATGCCAGTGAGAAATGGTCGCGGTTGTTCACCAAGACATGTTACAGAAGTTTCAGGTCTGTTCATATATGCCCAAAGGGGCATACCATTCTGCTGTAAGCTTCATCCTGAAGACACTAAATTCAACTCCCATGGGTCAGCAAGACCATCATCCCCAACTAAGTGCCAAGTCTCTCAGTTCCTCAAGCCAGCCTCCTGCCCCAAAGCACTCACCTTGCTCCGTGGGTTGGGAAGTCCATCACTGTTCCAGGCTCTGGCTCCTGGTTCAAATGCTGCTCCTCTCATGGTATAGCTGTCATTTGGATCCAGGAGGTTCACTGCACAGGGATCTCCAGTCCCCAGGATGCACTCCATTTCTGGCTCATGCTGGTAAGAGGATCTCTCCTCTGCTTCTTAGAAGGCTCATTCTCACATACAGCATGAGGCTAACTCCAGGGAATCCTGTTCCCATGCAGTTAGTCATAGGTGAATCACACCAGTATCTTCCCCCACCTTCTTGTCAGACCCATGCAAGGAGAGATCGTTTGGTGAGAGAGACTTTGGTTAGAAGAGTCACATTAAGTAATTCACTGTCCCTGCAAATGAAAACAAAACAATTTGGAAAAGTCTGTTATACAAATTAAGCTTACGTGTCTTAGAATTTCCACCAAGGTTGTGGCTACACAAACTTTTATTAAAGAAAGTAAGCCTATGAATGATGGATTTAACTAATGGCCACAGCAGAAATTAGTTTATAGTGAAAGGGACACAAATAAAGGAGACAACTCTGTCTGCCTTTTAGAATTCTACAGCCTGCAAATAGGCCAAAGGAGTTACACCTGTGGTCCTCTAAGAAGAGAGAAGAAAATGGAAGAACCATTTCTGGAGTAGCTTGGAGGTGAGCAGAACTACAAATCAGAGCTGCCTCCGCCTCAAAAGGCTGAGGCTATTAATCTTTGGGGCTTCAAAGGCTAGAGTTATGGTCTCTTGGATCTCAAAGGGCGAGGCCACTGCTTTCTAGATTCCAAAGAGATCTTCACTGAGTTGGTTCTGGAGTGT